TTTGTCAACAGTTTTAAAAGTGTCCACTGAGTCTAAACACCACCGGCTGCTGCAGCTACAAGACAGAAACATCTTCCTGCACAACAACACAATAAAAAAAAACAAAAACAAAAGATGTCTCTCTCACACAGACTGCTGCGCCTCATTTCAGATCCACAACAACCGACAGTTATTTATAGCCTACCTGCTAAGTCCAAACTCCCGCGGCGCGCTTTCGTGTTGATCCACAGTTTGAATGAAATAATGGTTTTTATGTGTAAACTGGAGCCCGTCAGTCACTGCGGAACATCTCCGCTCACAGTAACTTTCAGTTTATTTATTTTTAAAGAGGAGGGACGGAGAAAAGTGAACGCTGTTAATCGTTCACCTGCCGCCGCCTCCTGTCATTACGCAGCCACTAGCATCAAGCTAGCTTTAGCAGAACTGAACTTCCGCTTATCGACTTCAAAATAAATGTTGTACAAAGGACCCTGTACTTCTTGATTTCACTTGTGTTTCTATGATTGTTGTTTAATCCATATATATTCTTAACCACTGGATCTATTTTCAGTTTAAGAATGTTAAACTGCAATTATTAGTGATAAAAATAATTAATGACTGCATACCTCAACAATGTGTTGGACAAAGGATGATGAACATGGAGATGCCAGGCAGAAGGAAAAGAGAAGATATTGAGGAGGGACATGCAGAGTGTGTCATGTTGATGTGACAGAAGAGGATGCTAGTGATCGGGTGAGAACGAGACAGATGATCCGCTATAGTGAGTCATAAATGGAGCAATCGAAAGAAGAAAAATAACTGGAAACACTGAGAAAAGTGAATTCCTGTCAGATGATCTTGATTTCTGCATTCTGTCACTAGATGAATGGATGGATTAATATTTTTCCTCACAACTATTTTTAACACAGCTTGCATTTTATTTCTCCCTCAGGTAAAGTTATTAATAAGTTAGACTAAATTGGCACAAGGTGCTCGCCAATTCTGAAGAATATAATTTGTCTTTCTGTTCCTTGGTATCATGTTCCATAAAACACATTTATGATGGGCATTTCTCAGCACAAGCAAAGAGACATAAAATGCTGTGTTTGACCCAAGGGTTCCACAGTACGATGGACAAATGAAGCTGTATTATGGCTCCACATTACTGTAGAAATTGCACATCAAGAAATTGTATTCCCTGATCCCTGATTCTAAAACCCCCAATATTAATCGTTTTAGGAAGAGAAATCCATAATGAAAGAAAGGCTTTAATTTTGAAGGTAAACTCGCATGATTTCCGGTATTTGTCTGTTTGTTGTGTCTGTGTCACTACCCGATCCGTACTCTGCTGAACGACTTGCAGAAGCTTACCTGATCCCAAATTTCCCATCATACACCGCGACCGTGACGTCCTGTCCCAGGACAAAGCCACCTATCTGCAGAAGAGACGAACTGCCTGCCTGCCTATCTATCTATCTATCTATCTATCTATCTTTTTTCCCAGCTATTAATTGATTTTTTTCAGCTATAATGAATTAGTCAAATATAACTCTAATATTAAAATTAATGGTAAAATATTGACAATAATGTGCATTTTAAAATTTGGTGTCTTTATCTTTTGTCTTTAACTTTTAAACGATTAAAAATTAAAGGTGAAGGTAAAGTGACGATGAATGCACATCTGAGGCTAAGTTTAGCATCATAGTGTTATTTTTGAAGTAAAATCAGTCATATGTTCACATAACATTTCATTATATTTACGTCATCTGTTTGTTCTCTGCTCTTAACTTTCTCTTCTTATACCTTACGAGTGACAACTGCGGGTATAAACTTATTTATTTATTTAAATAAACAAACAAACTTGGATCTTGGTTTCTTTATCATTTAAAATGCAGACTATTTGCTGCTTAAAACAGTCCTGTGTTTAAAAAGGTTGGTGGTTGTCGCTTTGCTATGTATCCATGGAGACGCAGTTATATTGACAGCCAGGCTCCCTTCAGTGCTGTGGTTTATTTAAGTTCCTGTTTGCTTCCTCTGTTTTCTCATTTTGTTGTATTGTTGCTGCGTTGTCAGAGATTAGCACGTCCTTTCAGTCAGATTAACTGGGTGGTCTGTG